GTCCGTCTGGGGAAGGGTCGCCGCCCCAAGGCTGGGCGTGGCGGCGTGGGTGGGGGTGCAGGTGTAGGTGGTGCTGGAGCTGGGTCTCCTGGTGGTGGTGCGGACGAGGGGACCCTGTCAGGTGCAGCCGAGCAGCCGTCTCAGCAGCCGCCGGACTGGCGTCAGCCGCAGCAGTCGCAGCAGCCGCAGCAGTCGCAGCCGCAGCAGAGACGGGCGAGTGGTCTCCCGCCCGGGTGGCCTGGCGCTGGTGGTAGCGCTGGACGTGGTGGTGGTGCGCGTGGTGGGCTGCCGGGTGGTGGTTCGGGTGACGTGCGCTGTCAGTACCTGCTCCAGACCGATCCTCGCCGTGGCTTCGTTTGCGGTAAGATCAGTCACACCTCCGTCCGCTGTTTCCGTCACCTGGACGACCTGTTTCGTCAGCGTTTCGGCCCGTCATCCGAGCTCCCAGACAGGCACTGTTTGCTTCGTCGTAGGGTTCAGATTTTTTATCTGGATATGGATGAGATTGTTACTGCTCTGCATGTGATGTATGCTGATGACTCTAGTGTGCGACCGTCGTATTACCTCTTGTTGCCTAGAGTAGGTGTGCCTTGCTTAGACTCCCCTGCTGGGTCAGGCGTAGGATCCCCTGCTTTGTTTAGCCTTGGTGCTTCCGTCGTTGCTTCGCCTTCGGCCGCCACTGCCGCGCTCTCCTTCACCCTCGACTCTGGCGCTTCCCAGTGCTTCTTCCGCGACTCCACCACGTTGACACCGCTTCCTGTCCCTGCCGCAGTCTCTCTTGCTGACCCCTCCTCCGGCGCAGTAGTCGCCCGCAGTTCCACCACCCTCCCCTGCACGGCGGTTCCTTCAGGCTCGCTCACAGGACTGCACATCTCCTCGTTCTCCAGGAACCTAGTTGGTGTCGGCTGCCTTCAGGACCTTGGCGTCACCACTACGTTCCTTTGACACGAGCGGTACGCTGTCTGTACCGAGGCCGCCACTGGTGCCCCCCTGTCCACGTTCCCACGGGACCCGGTGTCCGGTCTTTTCACACTGGACACGGTGACCCCCCCGGCTGGGACCCCCCTTTAGGTGACTGCGCCTCCCCCGGTTGCTGCTGCTAGCTCCTGTCGGTCTCTCACTCATCCGACACTTCTCTGACACCACCGCCTAGGTCACCCTGCACTCCCGCGTCTGCGTCACATGTCACAGCACGGTCTCATCCTAGGCCTCCACGGGTCGTTCCCCGAGTTTCCCTCCTCCCCAGCCCCACCTTGCATCCCCTGTGTCGAGGGCCGGCTCCGCCATGCCCCTCACTCCTCCTCGTTTCCCCCTACTGCAGCACCGCTACAGACTCTGCACATGGACATCTGGGGCCCCGCCCCCGTCCATGGGCAGCGTCGAGAGCGCTACTTCCTAGTGCTTGTCGACGACTACACGCGCTACACCACTGTGTTTTCCATGGAGCGGAAGGCCGACGGGCCTGCCGTTCTTATCCCGTGGCTTGTCTCTGCGCGTGTCCACCGCGGTCTCCCTGTCTTGCGTCTCCACTCCGACCGTGGTGGCGAGTTTGCCTCTGGTGTCCTTGGTCGTTCCTGTCGTGCGGAGGGCATCACCCAGATGTTCACCTTGCCGGACTCCCCACACCAGAATGGGGTCGCTGAGCGACGCATCGGTTTGGTCATGGAGGTGGCTCGCACCTCCATGATCCATGCCGGGACACCCCATTTTCTGTGGCCGATCGCCGCTCGCTACGCCGCTCACCAGCTTAACCTGTGGCCGCACCCCCAGCAGCCTCAGGTTTCGCCGACCCTCCTTGGGTCTGGGTCACCTGGTGACGCGTCTGCGTTCCACGTATGGGGCTGCCTTGCTCACGTTCGTGCCTCTGGCACGGACAAGCTCACTGTCCGCACCCTTCCCTGTGTCTTCTTCGGCTTCCCCCTTGACGCGTCTGACTGGCACTTCTACCACCCGCCGTCTCACCGATTCTTTCACTCCCGTGACGTCACCTTTGACGAGTCCGTCTCCTTCTTCTGCTGCTTCCCCCACCGAGGTCCCCTGATTACCCCCCCCTGTTCCTGATCATCCCTTCCCCGGTCGTTGCCGCCCCTCCTCCTCTCCCTCCCCGTCCTGCCCCCTCTGGTGTGTCCCACGTCACCCCACTTACGTCGGTTGTCCCGGTTGAGGAGTCTGCTGACTCTGGTGGTCCTGCAGCGCAGTCCTTGCCGCCTTCCCGTTCTCAGGTGTCTCCTCCTCCACCGCCTCCGCAGCCATCGTCGCCACCGATGTCGCAGCCGTCACAGCTGTCGTTGCAGCCACCGCCGCAGCAATTCGTTGCCTCTAGGGGTGCTGGAGTTGGGGTGGGTACTAGTCCTGGGACTCCTGTCGTGGCTTGTCCCGGCGGGCCTGGGGGTGGTACCGGTGCTCGAGGGGTTCTGAGCTCTGGGGGTGTTCCTTCTGGGGGTGCTGGCATGGAGTGTTATGAAGGTAGCCGCCAGGCAGCTTGCGGTCCTGGTGTCGGTGTCACACCGCCGCCGCAGCAGTCCCCGCCGGTGTCCGCTCTTCATCTGCTCGGCCTTCCGGCCTGTGCCTCCTCCTCCTCCTGTCTACGGCCTTGTGTTCCCTCCTCCGGACTCGTCTCCGGCCCGTTTCCCCCCTCGTTCCCCTCTTGTGTCCCCTCCTCTGTCCCCTGACCCGACTCCCCCGTCTCACGTCTGGTCTCGCCGTCCCTCCCGTGCTCGACCTGTCTCCCCTGTCTCGCGCTCTCACCCTATGCTGCTTCGTTCCCACGTGTCTCGTCCTCCCCTTCTCCCGTCGCCCCCTCCGTCCTCCCTTGTCGTTGCTCCCCCCCCTCTGTCTGACTACCTGCGTGCCGCTCGTCCTCTTGTTCCTCAGGTCCTTGCCTCTCTCGTTACCAACCCGTCTGTTCCGGTTTCGAGCCTTGACACCCTTGTCGCTGCGGTCGCTGACTTCACCTCTACCCGACACCTTGACTACGCCACCGCTCTGGTCTCTGACCCTGCCTGTCCTCCGTCTGTCGGGGGTGCTCCTGCCCTCGGCAGTGACGTCCTGGAGGACCGCCAGTACGAGCTTGCTTTCCTGTCCGAGGCTGCTCCCCATCTCTGCTCTATGCTTCTAGTCCTTGAGGGGGACCCCGACGCTTTCGACATCCCGACCCCTCGCACTTACGCTGAGGCAGTCTCGAAACCCTGGGCCACTCAGTGGATAGCTGCCATGGAGCACGAGATGGCATCTTGGAGATCCACCGGCACCTACGTCGACGCAGTTCCCCCACCTGGGATGAACGTAGTTGATGGCCGCTGGCTCTTCAAGGTGAAGCGCCCTCCTGGAGAGCCGCCTGTGTTCAAGGCGCGCTACGTGGCTAGAGGTTTCAGTCAGCGTGAGGGGGTGGACTTCTTCCAGACCTTCGCTCTGACCCCGAAGATGACTACTCTTCGGGCGCTGCTTCACGTAGCAGCACAGCGTGATTACGAGCTTCACTCCCTCGACTTCTCCACTGCGTTTCTTCAGGGCAGTCTACACGAGCAGGTCTACCTGCGCTGCCCTGAGGGCTTCACTGGTACCTTCCCTTCTGGGACCCAGTGGCTCCTACGGCGCCCCGTCTACAGCCTGCGGCAGGCTCCCCGTGAGTGGCACGACACTCTCCGTGCTACGCTTGCTGACCTGCAGTTCTTTCCGTCCTCTGCAGACCCCTCGCTCCTCGTTCATGCTGGCCAGACCCCGTTCTACATCCTTGTTTACGTACTGTAGAAGACCTGGTCTTCGCCACACCAGACAGGGACGCACTGGCCTCCGTGAAGGCAGAGCTGCTGAAGAGACACACCTGCACTGACCTTGGAGAACTGCGCCACTACCTTGGCTTGCAGATCTCCAGGGACAGAGCAGCGCGCACCATCACTTTGACTCAGTCACACTTGGTGCGCCAAGTCCTTTAGAGGTTCGACCTTCATTTCTCCTCCGCACAGCCCACTCCTCTGCCTCTAGACCACAAGCTCTCCGCTCGAGTTTCTGAGGAGTCAGCAGAGTCCAGTGGTCCTTACGCAGAGCTGGTGGGTTGTCTCATGTACTTGATGACTTGCACTCGCCCAGATCTCGCATACCCTCTCAGCATCTTGGCTCGCTTTGTGGCTACAGGAAGACACCGACCTCAGCACTGGTCCGCCGCTAAGAGGGTTTTCCGTTATCTTGCAAGTACATCGGGCATGGGGTTAGTGCTAGGAGGACGCAGGCCAGTGGTCCTTACTGGACACACAAACGCTTCTTGGGCAGACGACGCCGAGACCCTCAGGTCCTCGCAGGGCTACTGCTTCAGCCTTGGTTTATGTGCCGTCTCGTGGAGAGTACCCGCTCCTCGTATGTTGCCCAGTCCAGCTGTGAGGCCGAGATCTACGCCGGTGCCATGGCGGCACAGGAGCTCCGTTGGCTGACCTTCTTGCTCACTGACTTAGGAGAGCGGCCGAGCTCTGCCCCGGTTCTGTACGCTCACAACAGGGCCATGATCCTCCTGTGTCAGGAGCCTCGACTCGAGGGTAGAGCGAAGCACATCCAGCTGCGGTACTTCCTCATGCGTGAGCTCCAACAGCTCTGCCAGGCGCGTATAGTACACTTGGCCTCCGGTGCCAACACAGCTGATATCTTTACGAAGGCGCTTGCGCCTAAAGATCATCAGCGTCACTGTGTACAGCTAGGTCTCGTTCCTGTAGCCTCTCACTTGCTAGGGCCTTGACTTTGTACTGTCGTTCATACATATATTTTACCCTGACTGGCCTTATGACCTCTCCCAGTGGCTGGACTAGTAGTGCCGCCCTGGTCTTGCTCTTGTCTTGTCTGTACTCCTTTGACTGGTCTTTAGACCCTTGCCTCAGAGGCTGGACTAGTAGTGCCGCCCTGAGCTGCTTCTTCCCTTGTTAGGCACTGCCCCTGTATAGTCTAGGGGGTGTGTCAAATGTAACGTAGGTCGTTATTGTAGACTATACTGGATTGTGCCTTAGAGGGTACAACACCCTAGTCTATATACCCTTGTACTCACACATTCTAGTTCAATTATTCTTTCTGATACCCTCGACCCAACAAAAAAGCAATCTGGCAGGTACTGCTGAGCCATGAGTATGAGCAACTACTGCGTTAGAGATACCATGGGTGAAATAATACCAAGACGAGAGGAGCAAACAAAGGAGAGTGCCAGACTGTGTGTGTGAGAAAACAGCAGCACGAGTGCTTGTGAGCACGGGATGAATGAATGCGAGAGACGGTGCAGGCAGATACACGCTGCTCTTTATTTCTCCGAGGCTATTGCTTGGGGATGGCCCCATGGGTTGCGAGCCACTGCAGCATGACGTCAGCAGCATCCTTCCATCCCAGGTCCAGCATGATGTCATGCGGCATGGATGGCAGCACCACCGGCAATGTGTTGAAGAACTCTGCAGTTTCCCTCACGCCCTGGTCGTCCTGGCAAAGAGAAAAAAGGGGAGGGGGGTGGGGGGGGTGTGGGTGAGATGAAGGGTTGGGGTATTGCTGCTGTCCCGCAGCAGCGCCTGGTAGCGCTTCACCTCGACCCCCTCCTCTGTGCCATGTCGCTTTCTCTCCCGTACCACATCCCCTCCTCTCCCATACCACTAGCACATGCCAGCACACAAGCCATCATCACCGCAAGAAACTCACCACGACAACATCATCCGCAGCACCCAGCACCATGACAGGCGGGCAAAACGCGGGCGGCTTGGCGACAGGCAGCGAGGCATTGAGGCTCCTCAGGTCAAAGAGGGGGATCTTGCTGCTGTCCCGCAGCAGCGCCTGATAGCGCTTCACCTCCGCTTCTGGCAGCTGCGGCGAGAAGAAGGAGTCGCGGCAGAGAGAGAGCGACGAGCCAAACATCTTGGCGGCCAGGCTGAGGGTGATCTTGACGGAGAGGATGGGGCGCGTGCGCATGTAGCGCTTCACCAGCTCCCTGGGAATTGGGGGTTGGGGGGGGAAGGGGAGGGGGAGAAGGGAGATTTGAGACGTCTCAAAGCTGTCTGTCAGCAGCGCCAGGCAGCGTTTCACCTCGTCCTCTGGCAGCTGCGGCGAGAAGGAGGGGTCACGGCAGAGAGAGAGCGACGAGCCAAACATCTTGGTGGCCAGGCTGAGGGTGATCTTGACGGAGAGGATGGGGCGCGTGCGCAGATAGCGCTTCACCAGCTCCCTGAGGGGAAGCGGCGGAGGGATGGGGGGATAATGGGATGGGGGGATGATGGGATGGGACAGCAAGGAAGGGGACCGTTAGGGGTCAACGTGGTATGGGAGAGCAAGGGATGGGGCAATAAGGGATGGGATATTGCAGGGTTGATGAGCAACGGGCTTTGGCTTTCGCCTGCATAACACCGCCAGCTACCTCAGAGCAATTTGCTTTGAGTCGTCTAAAAAACCGCCTGCATAAGCCCACCAGCTCCAATGGCCCCACCAGCTAGCTACCTCAGACGAATTACCATAGCGTGCCTGTATCCCTAGCATTCGCACACAGGTCTCCCGCAATCCCCTTTTGAGTCGACTCAAAAGGCACCAGCCCCACCAGTTGCCTCAGACGCATAACCATGGCGTGCCTGTATCCTTAGCATTTGCACACAGGTCTCCCGCAATCCTCACCTCTCACACCTCCCAGCTGCCCCGGCATTGTCACACTCACATGTTGCCAGTGGGCGGCACGGAGCAGGCCAGCACAGCCCCCGTTAGAGGGGCGAAGGGGGTTCCCTCTGAGAAACGAGACAGGGAACAGCAGAGGGGATGGAGGAAATGACTGACTCGTTACAACCACTACAGGGGCAAAGGGAAGCGCAGCACCCATTGAAGGGGCAAAGGGTGCACGGTTTGATGGTAAAGTAATACGAAGGAATCGGGCAGAGGAGAGGCAGGGGTGGCAAGGAGGGGAGGAGGATTTCAGAATGGCAGGAAGGAGGACGAGTTGAATGCTGGTGTCTCTAGAACCACTGCTATTGAAGCATTCACCATTACATGCACAATGCATGCATGGCTGTCAGTGAACCAGACACGCACCATCCTTGCTGCTCTCCCAGTCCTTCGCCACGTCGGCAAGATACGCCTGAACTATCAGCCCGCCGAACGAGTGTCCAACTAGGACCGGAGGCCGGCCAACGAGCTGACGGATAACGTTTGACACGTCAGCAGCGTGGGACTGCGCGTTGCAGGTCCATGTGGAGCACGAGAGGGAACAGAAGTAAAGAAACAGACAGCCGGAAAGGATAAAACGATATGACGTCACGCATTGGGACAAAACCCCACATGGACTCTACTTTCTTGCAAGTTCGCGAGGAATGAAAGGGAGAGGAGGTTCAAATGTAGCACGCTGCTGGAACTGCTGTCACCCAACATGCTGTGTATGACCTGTTGGAACTGTGCGCGCATGCGGCCATTCCAAGCAGACTGCGGATCACCTCGCGCGTGTATCACTTTCCTTAACGATTCGTCACCTGGATCCCAGTTCATCTCCCACCTGACTCCCATACGAGCGAGATCAAACAACAGCAAGATCGTCCCTCACCATTCTCACCTCCCAACAAAATCACCTCCTACCATTATCACCTCTCACCACTATCACTCCCCATCATCCTCACTTCCCAACTGATCACTTTCACCATTATCGCCTCCCACCTGAATGGTCCCGGCCACGGGAGCGTTCGGCACGTTGCTCCCACCCTGACCGAGGATGCTTATAGCGAAGCAGTCGAATCCCAGAGCCGACAAATACGGCATCCACTTATCATCCCAACACCACGCAGCATGATAACTCCCATGGATAAACACCAATGGCGGTAACTGCTGCTCCGCATTCGCCGACACAACTTTCGCATCTAAGTCTGCTAGTCGGATCAGGACCTCCATTTTGTAACCAGACGGCAGCTCGTGTAACACGCGCTCTGTCTGACCAGGCGTGGTGGTTACCACAGGTGCGGTCGACGCCGACTGCGCGAGTACTTGACGGCGAGAACATACTTGGCGGCAGGAAGACGGATTAGGCTTATATCGAAAGGGAAGTAGCCGTTGGGACGTGTAACCCAGGCCTTCACTGCCACGATGATTTCGAGAGAAGCCAGGGAGCTTTCCGTGCGAAACTACTGCTGGTTTGCTAAACAAAGGGTTCGGGTTTCCAGCGTGGCTCTGGCACTTGTCAAGCCTGGCTCCAGCCGCGAATGCAGCACATCCGGGGGACAAAGCAGCCGCCATGGAATAGCAAGAAACGGCAGGCTGTGCAGGCGTTCTGCGACAGTGAGCTTGTTTCAGAGAATCTAGGTGGACAAAACTGAATTCCAGGCGAGGAATCCCAGGGAATTCAAGAAATTGGCACGGGATTCCAGAAAGGTTGATCATTGGGTGTTTCGTCAATATCTTGTAACCAACCTGACGAGTTCTGTACGAGGTCAAGAAGGTTTCGTCAGGCTTCAAGGATAGGCAAGGTCAATGCTGGTTCTTTCGCCAATCTGCAGCACCCCTAACTTGTCAATGCCTGATTTGGTCCACGTACATAGCCAATCAGCAGCCTACTGATGAGCAATGCCGTGCCAACACAGCATAAAACAACGTGCTTCGATATGGACTGGTTCTTCCCTTATCCTGTCTGTGACAGCTACGTTGAACGTATACTTGGCCCACACAGCACAACTTCAGCTTGTCAATACCATGTTTGGTAAATTTCCAAATGCTCTTGATTGAACAGTTCATTTGAGGCTAAAAAAACATTAGATACATGAAATTTGATAATATTTCAATTCCAGAACTATGGCTGCACCATTAATTTTGGAATGAAAGGCACTATCATTGTCAAATTTGTTCATATCTACAATTTATGGTGATGAAATTCAGGAAAATGTGCGTCTCATTCATTCGTTTCCTGGGCTTCACTATAGCTGTCACAGACAGGATAAGCTGTCACACTTTCCTGTGTTGCTGACAGGGTCCACAGCAGGGCTGTTGCTAGGTTTTCTCCCACCTCGGACGATCCGAGCCCCTCGAAAAATCACCCTGTAAAATCCGACGTCGTCAAGGAATTACCCTGATTCTTCAGGGTCCGCGTTCGAAAAGGCCTGATAGAGCATGGGCAGTTTTTGTGGGACGAGACACTGGGACGGCGAGTGGGAGAGCTTCGGGTTGGGAAATCCGCCACCACAGACGCACCTGTGGAGCTAAATTCGGGCCAAGAGGAGCGGGGAGAAGGGGGGTGGGGGGAAGGGCTGGGGCGATTTTGAGTAGCATGAACATCTGTTCGTGGCTGCTTATTTTAAAACCTGCTGCTAAGTGACCATTGATCTGGTAGTGCATGCGGAAATACAGGTAAAGTTCTAGCTCCTTGGCACCTTCAGGCGTGGTTCATTTCCCAAGAAACATTCGTTTGAATGCTTACCGCACTTAATCGTATTAAAAACGACAGAAACACACAGAAACGTACAGGAACCTTGGCAATATTCGGAGTTTAAGCCATTCGATCCCTGCTGCTATACAACTTTCCCCAAGTTTGGGAAAGTCCTGTGAAACACAGGGTCGGTCGAACAATAACCTTTTATTTTCAGTCAAGTCAGGGTAATTGCTCTGTTAACACGTGCCCTGGTCCACAGTCCACACCTTTCCCCAAATGATTTATACAACTTGCTGACGGGATGCTTCATCAGGCATGATCTTCCCGCCCTTTCTTATCGAATCAACGCACACCTGTGTTGATATCACAACAATACCCACGTGTGAACTGTCGAAGCTGACGCTAAGACTGCTGATGTGTCCAATCGGCAGTTACTCCTAAGCTATGGTAGCAGCATATTGCTGCAGCTGCAGCAGAGTGAGGGGGTCTTTTGCCTGCCGCGCATGCACGAGGTTGCAGCTAAAAGGTGGCGGGAAAAGGACACTGCTAGATCCCGCAGCAAATAGGGGTTGCTCGAAGCATGAGGGTAAAACATTCCCGACCCTCTAATTTCCCTATCAGTAGAAAATAATACCTTCTAAGTGGAGTTGACTGTCGAACGCGACCAGGTGGAGAGTGGGCAACCTGGTAATGTGCATTCTATGTTTTTTCGGAGTGTCCCGTCAATCCACCTCTGGAAAGGAAAAGTACATTATCAGGCCTGTGTAATGTTTCTCGAGTTTCCTTCTAGCCCATGAGCCCGGACACACCACGACCACGATGTGACGAACGAAACATGTTTTGCGACCCACCAAAATGTTGCCCCCCCCCCACCCAAACCCCTCCTCGCTCGCGCCTCACCTCGTCACCACTACCACCACAAATCGCAAACAAACAGACTGCTCGCTGCTTGTGCATGATGTCAGTCCATGGCCGGGATTGCTAGCACAGTTCATTAGCGCCCACCTTCAAAACCCACTTGGGACATTGCCCAGTCCAGAGCCCCTCGCTGCACTTTCTAGAGCCACAATGTCGTGTCTCACAAGAGGGAACAGAACACGAGAACCCCTGCCCGCCATCTCATCCCACACTGCATACAATGCGCTCGCCTGCCATTGGCTAATTCCCTCCGAACCCGATCTTCCGACTGGTTCTAAAAGCCTTGGGATTCTTGAACAAACGCGCTATATCCGCAAGCGCTCTCGTGCAGCAGCATTTGCCTTTGGTGGCTGCTCCTCGCAGTGCAAATTCGCCCCTGCCGTCTGTCCACGTCCGTGTCGCACGGTTCTTTCGAGAAAGCCAGTCACGTCCAGTCCAGTCACGTCCTCCAGTCACTTTACGCACAAAAGTGAATGCACGCAGCACGTCTAAAGAGAGGGCGCATCTCCGCACTTTATTCAGCGCCTTTGCATGCTCAGTGACCGCCATTGCATTGCATGCTCAATGCGCAATGCTACATGAGCATTGACCAATCAGCCGCGAATCGTCTGAGCACTGCGTACGGCACTCGCGTGTCACGACCACCACCACGAGATCGCATTCTCGTCGCGACGAATCCTTGAGCAGTGTTAGCTTTGAGGCGCCTCAAAACCAGCCCCCTGCGAAGTGTGGCTCCCCTGCGCGGTGCTGGATCCCTTTGAGCCACTGCATTGTCGGGCGCAGTTTTCAACTGCGACGAGTCGCTCTGCAGCAACCATCATGGCCACTCTCGCCTTCGAGCCACTGCGCGCCACGGAACAGCCGTCACCAACTCTGGCGTCTCCTAATGCCGTTTCGTGCTTCCCGTTTGCGCACAGCGTCGACCGCACGATAGCCGCGCAATGCCGTCCATGTACAGCGGAAGAGTGCAGCGGAATGTCTCCCGCGGAAGGGCAACCAGCTGCGGGCGGAAGCGCAGTGGAGAGCTCGTTGACTGCGGAGGACGCCGCGTTGACCGGGCAGAACCCGTTGACCGCGGCAGAGGGCGCGGAGGAGCTCCTGCTCTTAGACTGGATTATCGACGGCTCGGAGAAAGAGTTTCTTTCCGCCAACGCTGTGCCGGCCAGCAGTCGCCGAACCGCGAGTCACAACTTCGAGTCGCCTCCTTTCTCGCCTGCTGCTAGTATTGGCGGGAATTCATCGCTGCGGGGCTCGGCAAGCGACAGAAATCTGGGTGGCCTTTGCGGCGACGCGAGAGCTCGCGGCAAGCGGGAATTTCGCCGAAGTTGCTCGATGGAGGACATCAATAGCAGCAGCGCGAATGGCGGAGGAGGTCGCGGAGGTAAACCCGGCGCCCGAAACGATTTGGAGTCGTCGCCATCGTCAGTGCTGACGCGCGGCCCGTCTTCGCCCACCGCGTCAGTCGATAGCTGCGCGAGTGATGGCTCGTCTCCTATAAGCAGCCCCGTTAAAGTGGATACGATGTCCGCGCGGCCGAGGACGCTCCATCTTCCGCCGCTTCCGCCGAAGATTCAGGTTCGGCCGTGGCAGCAAGTGACGTCGTTTGGTGCGCCTCTGCTCGCGGCGGTACCTTCCGCGCGTCCGCAGCCGCAACAACACCAGCAGGGGGAAGGGCAACAGCGGCACACGGCGCAGCTGGCTGAAGGCGGATGCGCGGTGGGGGAAGCGGGGGAAGCGCAGGTGGCGCAAGCGCCGGTGAAGCCGCATCCGCTGCTGGTGTTGGACGAGCAGCGGCGGAAGCACCGCGCGTGGATGTCTCTCTTCTCCCCCTCGCTCGCGCAAAGCCTGACTCCCCTTGCGCCACCCGAGAATCATGGCGCAGAGCGGAGAAAAACCGCGGAGCCGCAAGCGCATGATGAAAGCGCGGGGCAGGCGGAAGCGACGCAGCCCCTTCAGGGCGATTGCGCACGCGATATCGACCCAGCTGCGGGACTTCCGCTTTCAGCGTTTTGCGCCGAAGTTCCGGCTCCCCCGCAATGCGTGGTGGTTCCCGCTCCCCAGCCGGGATTCTCAAGCGTCTGCTTCGCTAATGAATTTTCTTCCGACGAACTTGCTGGTGACGTCACTCAGGCGATTCGCCAGGGGCTGGGAGCTGTGACGCTAGGCACTGCAGCGGGCAGCAGAAGTGGGCAGGAAAACTTCGGCCGTGCATTTTCTTCTGACGAATGTGGCTTGACAAACCGGAATGCCACGTCCGCTCCCCTCCGCCGAACCTCCAGCGACTTGAGCGTTGCAGCTGCAGATCACCGCAATGTGCTTATGACGAGGCCTGGAGCGTGCACTGACAGGACTCTGATTATGATGAAGCCATCAAACCTGAGGGGTGGTGCGGGCAGGCAGGTCCCACAGGGGCAGAAAAAAGTGCGATGGGGAGCAGACGAGGTGTTTGAAATCCCCGCTCGCTGCTCCAGTGTTGACTTCTGAGAGGTTGGGATGGGTGCAGAAACTGTACCTACCCACCGGTATAATCATTATTCAGCAGCCCTGCAGGCAGCAGCTCAAATGCAGGCAACCGGAGGGATGACCAAGCTTGGCTTCATCTGAAGTCGATTGCAAGGGCGATCTTTACTGCTGCAAAGCATGATAGATTCCTTGATGCCAAGCCAAGTAGCCAAGCATGATAGGTGTCCTACCTTATCTACCAGTCTCCAGAAACGCAATGTAACTGCATGTTCAAGTGAAAAACCGTCTAGAACAAGGCATACAAGGGAATATTGTTAATGAAGTAAATCGTCTGGTGTTGTAGTAGACAAAGTATAAAACTATAAACACGAACACTTGGCAAATCCTCAAGTGTTGGTCCAGGATCTTTGCTGGAATGGTAGACTAGTAAGACAGCGGAAGTCATGTAAAATGTAAAGGTCAAGGTTGAATAATCTGAGTACGTGAACTTGTGAGTAATCAAAAGTTAATAATAAAAAGACCTAACAAGTATTTATAGTTCTAGGAAAAGTACCTATTCGCTATTGTACCTGTTCGTCACTATCGCGCTATGCGCCCTAGATGATATTGAAGAGGTGTGACTGTTCGCGTGACTGAAACGACTGTCCTATGACGAGCGCTATTTGCTGACGTCATCCTATGGACTTATCTTCTACAGTAGGATTCGGCACTAATACACATAATCGACTTACAGAAATGCTAAGTACCAATTATATCACAACACTCCCCTTCATTTCTGGAACGTCGATAGTGTCACTTCTTGAAGATTCCACAGAGCTTGTTACAGTACTGAAACTTCTGTCGTGTCAGCTTCTTCGTGAGAAAATCGGCAGCCATTTCGTTGGTCGAACAGTAGACCAATCGCATCCTCCCCTTCTCGACTTCATCTTTGACGAAGAAATAACGAAGCGAAATATGCTTCGTCCTGTTGACGAAACCAGGTTGATGTGCGATGCGAATAGCACTTTGATTGTCGCACTGTAGGGTAAACTGGGTAGTTGTCAACTTCGCTTCTTCCAGTCGTTCCTGTAAGTAAAGTCCTTCGCGTGCTGCTGTGCAGACAGCAATAAACTCAGCTTCAGCGGAGGAGAGTGCAATTAGCTCCTGCTTCGTAGAATTCCAAGAGATAGGTCCGATAGGTTCCAGTCGATAGATGAACCCAGTGCGCGACCGTCGATAAGTAGAATCAGCAGCGTGATCGGCGCCGACAAAACCATGTAGATAGAGTGTTTTACAGCCGATGACGTTGTAGACTAATCCGACGTCAGGTGTCGAGATAAAATACTGAAGTGCACGAAGCAGATCAAGCTGATGCTCCTCCTCAGGTTGGCGTAGGAACTGAGCGAGCTGACTGGCCGCGTAGGCTAGATCAGTGACAGCGGCAAAGAGTAGACAGCCTAGCTGCTGTTGATAGATCTGTAAACCGGTTGAAGTTAACAGTGCGGTGTGTCAAACATGTTTAGTTATCATGCTTGTATAGACTGTATAGGGTCATCTTCTAGAGAGTACAACAGTTAGATATATGTTTGTGTACTCTCATCTTCCATTCATCAATTTCACTGTTTGATATGGTATCACGCGTAGGTAGGATCCCCCCCCCCCCCCCTCCCCCCTCACGCTTCCGCTCGCCCCTCTAGCTGGGCCCCGTCGTGCTCCTAGCCCCGTCGCGACCCTCCCTAGCCCCGTCGCGACCCTCCCTAGGCCCCGTCGCGACCCCTTCAGGGCTTCGTCGCGCCCCTCCAGGCCCCGTCGCGCCCCTTCCAGGGCCTGGTAGCGCCCCTCCAGGGCCCCGTCGCGCTCCTCCCAGGCCTCGTAGCGCCCCTCCTGGGCCCCATTGCGCTCCTCCCCCCGTCGCGCCCCTTCCAGGGCTTCGTAGCGCCCCTCCGGACCCCGTCGCGCCCCTTCCAGGGCCTGGTAGCGCCCCTCCAGGGCCCCGTCGCGCTCCTCCCAGGCCCCGTCGCGCCCCTTCCAGGGCTTCGTAGCGCCCCTCCAGGCCCCGTCGCGCCCCTTTCAGGGCTTCGTAGAGCCCCTCCAGGCCCCGTCGCGCCCCTTCCAGGGCCTGGTAGCGCCCCTCCAGGGCCCCGTCGCGCTCCTCCCAGGCCCCGTAGCGCCCCTCCTGGGCCCCATTGCGCTCCTTCCAGGCCCCGTCGCGCCCCTCCCTAGCCCAGTCGCGCTCTTCCCAGGCCCCGTAGAGCCCCTCCTGGGCCCCATTGCGCTCCCCCCAGGCCCCGTCGCGCCCCTACCTGGGCTTGGTAACGCCCCTCCAGGCCCCGTCGCGCCCCTTCCCATCCCCGTCGCCCCTGCTCGGCCCCGTCGCCCCTGCTCGGCCAGGTCGCGGCCTATCGGCCGCGTGGCGCCCGCCCGGCCCCTGTCGCGGCTGCCCGGCCCCCTGTCGCACCTGCCCGGCCCCTGCTCGCCCGCCCGGCCCCGTCGCCCCTGCCCGGCCCTGCTGTGGCCTGCCCGGGCCCCGTCCCTGCCGCCCGGCCCCGTCGCCGCCGCCCGGCCCCGTCGCAGCCGCCCGGCCCCGTCGCAGCCGCCCGGCCACGTCGCAGCCGCCCGGCCCCGTCGCCCCTGCCCGACCCTGCTGTGTCCGGCCCGGCCTCGTCCCTGCCGCCCGGCCCCGGCGCAGCCGCCCGGCCCCGTCGCAGCCGCCCGGCCACGTCGCAGCCGCCCGGCCACGTCGCAGCCGCCCGGCCCCGTCGCCCCTGCCCGGCCCTGCTGTGTCCGGCCCGGCCTCGTCCCTGCCGCCCGGCCCCGTCGCAGCCGCCCGGCCCCGTCGCAGCCGCCCGGCCACGTCGCAGCCGCCCGGCCTTGTCGCTGCCGCCCGGCCCCGTCGCCGCCGCCCGGCCCCGTCGCCGCCGCCCGGCCTTGTCGTGCCTGCCCGGCCCCGACGCACCTGCCCCGGCCCTCCATACTTCCTGGTACTGTCCCCCGTTCCCCGCACCACTTTGCACCCTCCTGCACTTTCCTGCCCCGCCTTGCATTGCATTGCACCTCACTGGATCGCACTGACCGCACTGCACCGCACTGGACCGCACTGCACCGCACTGCATCGCACTGCATCGCACTGGACCGCACTGCACCGCACTGCATCGCCCTGCACCGCACTGCACTGTCCTCCACTGCCCCTCATGGCTGCTGAGCTTCGTTTTGATGTTGAGGGTCAGCCTCTGGAGTTCGAGGCGTGGTTGGCTGACCTTCGCCGCCACCTCACTGGCCAGCGGCAGGACGGCCACCCGCTTTCTGCACACCTCGACGGTATGCTCCCCTGCCCTGACCCCCCTGCTGTGCTGCCCGCTGATCCCACGCCCGCTGAGCGCGAGTCCACTGCCGCTGCTGCCCTTGCCCGCTCTGTCTGGCTTTCCCGCGATGCCCTTGCTCAGCTCGCCATTAGCAATGCCCTCCCCCCCACTGAGCGCCCTCGCTTTAGAACCATTCCTACCGCCCAGGCCTACCTCGATGCTGTCCTCAAGCGCTATTCTACCCCTCCTGCTGCCTCAGTGGGTCGCCTGATCCTTCCCCTGCTCTTTCCTGACCTGGCGTCTTTCCCCACTGTCTCTGACCTCGCTGCCCACCTGCGCTCGATAGATGAGGCCTGGCGAGCTGCCTGCACTGATGCTCAGCTTAGAGTCCACCAGCCTCCCATGACCTCTACCCTCTACCTCCTTGCCACCCGCCTACCTGACCGCCTTGCCGCTGCCCGCGACCAGTTCCTTAGCATCCACCCTGCTGCTCTCACCCTCACCGACTTTGTTGACACCCTGACTGCCATAGAGACTCGTCACCGCTCCATAGCCCTGGCGAGCGGTACAGTACCGGTCCCTATCTTTCAGGGTTGTGCCCCCGCTCAGTGTACCTTCTCCGACGGCTCTGTCGCTGTGGCTGAGACTGCTGCTGCAGTGCAGTCCCGCTCGGCGAAGGGCCGCCGCCCCAAGGTTGGGAGCGGCGGAGGCGGCGGGGGTGCGGGTGGGGGTAGTGGTGGAGGCGGGTCGTCCGGTGCCGGTGCCGACGTGGGGACCCTGCCCGGTCCAGCTGCCCCGCTGCCTCCACAGTTGCAGCAGCCGCAGCAGCAGCAGTCGCCGCAGCCGCAGCCTTCGCAGCAGCCGCAGCAGCCGCCGCAGACGAGGCAGGCGAGTACTCTCCCGCCTGGGTGGCCTGGAGCTGGTGGTGGTCGTGCGCGTGGTGGTGCACCGGGCGGTGGTTCTGGAGGCGGGCCCTGTCAGTACCAGATCCAGACCGGTCCTCGCCGCGGCTTCGTTTGCGGTAAGATCGGTCATTCTACTCCTCGCTGTTTTCGTCGCCTGGACGACCTGTTCCGCCAGCGCTTTGGCCCGGCGCCCGACCTCCCGGACTGGCACAGCTTGCTTAGGCGTAGCATTAGGATTTTTGACTTGGACATGGATGCCATTGTAGCGGCCTTGCATGTGATGTATGCTGATGACTCTAGTGTGCTTCCCTCTTATTACCCCGTGTTGCCTAGTGTAGCGGTGCCTAGCGTAGACTCCCCTGCTGCGTCAGGCGTAGGTTCTCCTGCTTTGCTTAGCCTTGGTGCTTCCACCGCTTCACTGCTGCCTCGCGCGACTGCTGCGCTTTCCTTCACCTTGGACTCTGGCGCCTCCCGGTGTTTCTTCCGCGACTCCACGACGCTGACGCCGCTGCCTGTTCCCGCTGCAGTTACTCTTGCTGACCCCTCCGGTGGTCCCGTCGTTGCCCGCAGTTCCACCTCCCTTCCCTGTCCGGCGGTTCCTTCGGGCACTCTCACAGGTCTGCATATCCCCTCGTTCTCCAGGAACCTAGTTGGTGTCGGCTGCCTCCAGGACCTTGGCGTCACCACTACGTTCCCTGGTCACGAGCGGTATGCTGTCTGTACCGAGGCCGCCACTGGTGCCCCCCTTACCACTTTCCCCCGGGACCCGGTGTCCGGCCTGTTCACACTTGACACCGCGCCGTCCCCGTCTGGGTCTTCCCCCCCGGTAGCTGCGTCCACCCAGGTTGCAGCCGCGTGCTCCTGTCGGTCCCTCACTCACCCGACTCTCCTTTGGCACCACCGCCTTGGTCACCCTGCACTCCCACGTCTGCGTCACATGTCCCAGCACGGTCTCGTCCTTGGTCTCCCCGGTTCGTTCCCCGAGTTTCCCTCCTCCCCCGCCCCACCGTGCACGCCTTGTGTCGAGGGCCGGCTCCGCCGTGCCCCTCACTCCTCCTCTTTTCCCCCTACCACCGCACCACTGCAGACTCTGCACATGGACGTCTGGGGCCCAGCCCCGGTCCATGGGCCGCGTCGCGAGCGCTTCTTCCTAGTGCTTGTCGACGACTTCACGCGCTACACCACC